TTCTCATGCCACCTGTCTGTAGTCCTCCCTCTAAGCTGTGGAGTCTCGTGAGCAAAAACTCTACTTGGTGAGCTCCTGGCATTAAAGTTGTGAGCGAGCGATTCGCCTACTGCATAGATTAGTTTGCTCTGGAGCCCTCCTTCCTGAGCTGAGACAAAAACGTGTGAGCCGGAGGCTAAAAAAAACTGAGCTAGCTCACACTAATTCAGCTTAGAGGGAACACTGCGTCCCAACTGCCCAGGGCCACTGGGGGGGGGGCACGGCTGGTGACCACGACAGCAGCACTCCTGGGGAGGTGGGGAACATGCAGGTGTTAGGGTGGAAAGGAAGGCATGGGGGGGGCTAGCAGTGGGCAGACGGTCAGCCCCCCCCCAAAAAAATGACCCCTGAAACCAGCCCTGCCCCTCCTCTCAGCCTGGGTCCTGTGACCCACGACACGATAATTCCAGTGAACAGGAGAATTTCCTGAGGCAGAGGACGGGAGGCAGTGACATTTCACGCAGCAGCGTTGCCAGCAGGAGATGTTATCTGATCCCCTCCCCGTCTTTCGAGTTGCATATTTACACAATCTGGTGTTGCAAAAGGTGGCACGGAATTACGCTGGGAACGTACTGAAGTGAGACAAACAGAAGCTGTGTGTTTTCCCCCCCTGCAACTGCGACAACTTTTGCTCACACGCCGACATTCCTGGAACAGGAGAATTTCCTGAGGCAGAGGACGGGAGGCAGTGACATTTCACGCAGCGTCGCCAGCAGGAGATGTTATCTGATCCCCTCCCTGTCTTTCGAGTTGCATATTTACACAATCTGGTGTTGCAAAAGGTGGCACGGAATTACGCTGGGAACGTACTGAAGTGAGACAAACAGAAGCTGTGTGTTTTCCCCCCCTGCAACTGCGACAACTTTTGCTCACACGCCTACATTCCTTCTGGCGACCAGGTCACCCTTTTCTTTAAGAACATAAGCCCATAAGAGAAGCCAATGTTGGATCAGGCCAATGGCCCATCCAGTCCAACACCCTGTCACACAGTGGCCAAAAAGACCAGGTGCCATCAGGAGGTCCAGCAGTGGGGCCAGGACACTAGAAGCCCTCCCACTGTTGACCCCCCCCCAAGCACCAAGAACACAGAGCATCCCTTGCCCCAGACCCAGAGTTCCTATCTATACCTTGTGGCTAATAGCCACTGATGGACCTCTGCCCCAGATGCTTATCTAATTCCCTCTTGAAGCCGTCCATGCTTGTAGCTGCCGCCACCTCCTGTGGCAGTGAATTCCATGTGTTCATCACTCTTTCTTCCAGTCATGGGAGAAAATGTCATTCGTTAACAACAGCAAGGAAATGGGGTGGCCGTTTTGGAAATGGAGTACGTTCAGGGTAGGAGTGGGAAAGTGTGTTTGGTCTGCCACCGCCACCCCCCCACCTGGGTCTCTGCCCACCTCCATCTGTCTGTCTGTCCTTCCATCCATCCCTCTATTGGGGTCTGGAGACCAAGTCCTGTGAGGAAAGGTCGAAGGAGCTGGGTCTGTTTAGCCTGGAGAGGAGACGACTGAGAGGTGGCGGCTACAAGCATGGACGGCTTCAAGAGGGAATTGGGGTTGGACTAGATGACCTGCAAGGTCCCTTCCAATTCTAACATTCTGTGATTCTATGATTCTATGACTTCCCCAAGCAGGGCATTCCACAAGGCGGGTTCCACAATGGAGAAAGCACATCTATGGGCAATTGTTGATTTTGCCCATTTGCAGGGTAAAAAGGTAAAGGTTTCCCCTTGCTCGAAAGCCAGCCAAATCTGACTCTAGTGGGCAGTGCTCATCTCCATTTCCAAACAGAAGAGCCAGCGCTGTCCGAAGACGTTTCCGTGGTCATGTGGCCGGCATGAATAAATGCCAAGGCGCAGGGAATGCCGTTACCTTCCCACCGAAGCGGTACCTATTTATCTACTTCCAGTTTCTTGCTTTCAGACTGCTAGGTTGGCAGGAGCTGGGGCCAGAGACGGGCACTCATTCCGTCACGTGGCACGAGGGTCTCAAAATGCCGGTCTACAGACCTTCAGGTACCATGGCCCCATATTTGCAGGGTAGCGCCCGCAGAAACCCCTGCTGACGTGAGCGGAGTTGTCCTGGCGGAGCACATTTCAGTAGACAAAAACATGCAGGGATGGAAAGATTAGCTTCCTCCTCTCCCCGCAGACCCCTGTTCCAATTCGGGGCCGCAAGACCTGAAATCCGCCTTTGAAAGACTGTGATCTCTGTCTCCTCTAATTAGAACGTTTTGGTCAGCACAGAATGTGGCAGAGCGTCTTTTGCTGGCCCCAGAGTCACCAGCAGCACACATTCCACATTCAGATCCGAGATTCCACACGCGGGTGCCCTGAAGCAGCAGAGCCACCCACGAAGCTTGCATCACAGACTCCCCCCCCACACACACACACACCGTAAGCTCACCCAGCCATATCCTTGGGATTCTTTTTATTGGGCTATTTGGTTGATATAGCAGTACTGAGCGCACTAAATAAATCTCCCAAGTTGTTGTTGTTGTTCAGTCGCACAGTCGAGTCCGACTCTTTGCGACCCCATGGACCAGATCCCGCCAGGCCCTCCTGTCTTCCGCCGTCCTCTGAAGTTGGCTCAATTTCATGTTCGTTGCATCGATGACACTGTCTAACCATCCCATCCTTTGCCATCCCCGTCTTCTTTGACCTTCAGTCTTTCCCAGCATCAGGGTCTTCTCCAGGGAGTGCTCCCTTCTCATTGGGTGGCCAAAGTATTTCAGCTTCAGTTTCATTATCTGGCCTTCCAGGGAACAGTCAGGGTGGATTTCTTTTAGGATTGACTGATTTGATCTCCTTGCAGTCCAAGGGACTCTCAAGAGTCTTCTCCAGCACCATAAAAAGAATCTATTCTTCGGCGCTCGGCCTTCCTTACAGTCCAACTCTCGCAGCCATACATGACTACTGGGAATACCATTGCTTTGACCATGCGGACTTTTGTTGGCAGGGTGATGTCTCTACTTTTTATCATGCTGTTTAGGTTCGCCATCGCTTTCCTCCCAAGGAGCAGGCGTCTTTTAATTTCATGGCTGCTGTCACAGTCTGCGGTGATCTGGGATATTGGGATAGTATATTGCAAAACAAAGTAAATGTACATTTATTCAAGTAGATCCAGTTCACATCCAGGTTGCAGTCGAAAGGAGAATGAGAAGCTTAATCTACAGAGGACTTTCCCTGTCACAAATGGCCGGCTTGTCCGGCATCGTGTGTGTGGGAGTATGAGGGCATTGTCTCTACAGGTTAGACTTGCAGAGACCTGCATTTCCATGGAAGGCCATGTGCAGTGAGGGAGAGGACAAAGGGAGAGAGAGAGAGAGGAGGGGTCAGAGGGCAGCTCCCAGGTTAAAACAAAGAGAGGCATCCCGTTCAAGGAGAGAACACCTATCCACACGTGGAGTGACGTTGTGCCCCCCCAACGTCCAGGCATGCTGAGTTGCTTCACTCCGGTTTGGGAGCCAGCTTGGTGTAGTGGTTAAGTGCGTGGACTCTGATCTGGGAGAACCGGGTTTGATTCCCCCACTTCTCCACTCGCACCTGCTGGTGTGACCTCGGGTCAGTCACAAGTTGCATCAGAGCTGTTCTCTCAAGAGCAGTCCTCGAAAGAGCTCTCTCAGCCCCACTGACCTCACAGGGTGTCTGTTGTGGGAAGGGGAGGGGAAAGGAGATTGTAAGCTGCTCTGAGACTCTGAGTGAAGGGTGGGGTATATAAACCAACTCTTCTTCGAATCATAGAATCATAGAGTTGGAAAGGACCTCCAGGGTCTCCTTCGCCTTCTTCTCCTCAACATAAGAACATAAAAGAAGCCAATGTTGGATCAGGCCAAAGGCCCATCCAGTCCAACACTCTGTGTCACACAGTGGCCAGAAATACCAGGGACCATCAGGAGGTCCAGCAGTGGGGCCAGGACACGAGAAGCCCTCCCACTGTTGACCCCCCCAAGCACCAAGAACACAGAGCATCACCTGCCCCAGAGCCCCTATCTATACCTTGTGGCTCCTTCTATACCTCCTTCTTCCCCTTCTCCTTCTTCTTCTCTTCCTCCTCCTCGTCCTCCACTTTTCCCCTTAGGGCATCTCTACTCCAAAGCAGAAAGCCCCCCAAGTATCCTGCCATGATGATGATGAAGAAGAAGAAGAGATTGGATTTATACCCTGCCCTTCACTATCCAGAGGAGTCTCAGAGCGGCTTACAGACGCCTTTCCCTTCCCCTCCCCACAACAGACACCCTGTGAGGTGGGTGGGGCTGAGAGAGCTCCAACAGGAACTGCTCTTTTTCAAATTCAAGGACAGCTCTTATCAGAACTACGGCTTGCCCAAGGTCATCCAGCAGGTGTGAGTGGAGGAGTGGGGACTCAAACCCGGTTCTCCCAGATTAGAGTCCGCGCACTTAACCACGACACCAAACTGGCTCTCTACACCAAACTGGTGATGATCCCTACATCTATGGGGAAAACAGGGGACTAGTGCAGCAGCCGTGAACTGGTAAAGGTCCGTTGCACCTTCCACTGAGCCATTCACTCCCCCCTCCCGCCCACCGTAAGCATGAGGACTACCTGCTTGCTTTTCTTGGAGGCCCCCCCCCGAAATCTCAGAACCCCGGGACTCAGAATGTTACGTGATTCTCTGGTATGCTCTAGTTTTCAGTCACGGGCGGTCCCCCGAGCATATGTCATACCCGAATGCCTCCCCGGTGTAATTTTAGAAAGATACCCATAATGAAACTTTTGCCGGCGCGGGCAGGGAGGCAGGCAGGTGAGGGCATTGTTCTTTTGTCCATTCAAACTCTCCCACAACTATTAGTTGCTTATGAGTCACTGGCCGGCAAATGCAATATTTCTTCTCAGGTTACCTGCCTGCCTTCAGGCCTGTTTCTACCAAAATAGCAGAGAGAAAGCAGATAAAGATTTATGCCTCTGTGTAAAGAGCGGTCGGGGCAGACGGGGGCGGGGAATGGCCGCCTCACACACTTCTTTCAGACGCTCCGGCCAAAGTCGCGCCTTCTCTTCACGGGTCAGCCTCTGTGACGGAACCCGGTTAGATGTTTTTCTCCCAGGACTGGTTTGCCCCCCCGCGGCGTCGTAGTCGGTCGGTCCGGGCTTGTTTCACGTACGAAGGTACAAGGTACGCCGTGACGGGCGGCAGGGACTTCACGTGCTGGGATGCAAAGTTCTGGACTCATGGAGGGTTGCCGTGTCTGCTCCTGAATCTCCAGTGTTCCCTCTAAGCTGAGTTAGTGTGAGCTAGGTCACCGTTTTTTAAGCCTCCGGCTCACGCGTGTTTGTCTTTGCTCAGGAAGGAGGGCTCCAGGGCAAACGAATTTATGCAGCAGCCAAATCGCCAGGGGCCATTTCGTAGAAAAAGAGGTGCAGGAGCTCATTTGAACAACGCATTTGCAGAACTCATTTGCATATGCCACACCCCCTGACAAAGGGCATTTTAAACATACCTGGGTTCCCTGCGGCTGCGGGGCACCTGATTTTCTCCACAGGGAGCCCAGGTATGTTTAAAATGCCTTTCTTTCCCTTCCCCAGATGGGGAAGGCAAAGAAAGGCATTTAAATCCCCCTCCCCACTTCCTCGAGTTTCTCCGCAAAAGTGGAGCGGCTCAGGGAAAAAAGGGGGGCAAGTCTGCCCACCCGCCCTTCCCTTCCCCAGCCAACCCGGCGCCTGGGCTTGTTACTCCCGGAACGCCGTTCCGGGTCGTTCCCCCTTGAAATAACCCCTGCAAATTGCTCACTCACAACTTTAATGCCAGCGGCTCACAAAGTAGAACTTTTGCTCACCAGACTCCACAGCTTAGAGGGAGGCATTGCTCCTGACCAGGGGTCATTTTGTAGAAAAAGAGGTGCAGGAGTTCATTAGCATAACTCATTAGCATAACTTATTTGCATATGCCACACCCCCTAACATCACCAGAGGTGTGTCAGAAGGCAACACCCACCGCTCAGGCTCCACTGGACTGTTTTGGATTGCTAGCTATGGGGGGGGGGAAAGTGCAGATCTGTCCTCGCGGAGGAGGGAGAGCTTGTACCTGAATAAGACTTGGTCTTAAAGGTGCCACTGGACTGTTTTGGACCGGAGTGGGTGGGGTGGGGGGAGCTCTGCAACTTACCTGGCTGCTTCTCGCTCTGACTGAGGGCTGCTGGGAGGAGGAGGTGGGGCTTGTTGCATGTACCTGCCCCCTGGGCTCTTTACTGCCGGAGCTCCGCTCCTGTGCGCTCCTGCAGGAAATGACCCCTGCTCCCGACCCAGTTCTACCTGGAAGTCCGTTCCACTGAACAGGGACGGGCTGTTGCTCCTTGGCAGAGCCTCTCCCTTGGAGCAATCCAGAGGGCGGCTATGCTCAGAGGAGACCCTACAGGGTGAAATGGACCAAGCACTTGGTTCTGTAGAAAACAGGCGCCTCTCTTGTGCGATTGAGAGAATCTGGTAAAGCATTGGCTGAGATTCCTACCCCTCCCCCTCCCAGGGGGAGGGAGGGAGCCAGCCAGAGCTCGCTTCCTCGCCAGGCTGCCTCAGTCGTATACAGGAGAGTGTTCCCTCTAAGATGAGTTACTGTGAGCCAGCTCACAGTTTTTTGGCCTCCAGCTCACAGATTTTTGTCTTCGCTCAGGAAGGATGGCTCCAGAGCAGACTAATTGATGCAGCAGCCAAATTGCTCGCTCACAACTTTAATGCCAGCAGCTCACCAAGTAGAATTTTTGCTCACAAGAGTCCACAGCTTAGAGGGAACATTGAGACCAGTGTTCCCTCTAAGCTGAGTTAGTGTGAGCTAGCTCACAGGTTTTCAGTCTCTGGCTCACACATTTTTTTTGTCTTCACTCAGGAAGGAACGGCTCCAGAGCAAGCTAATTTAAGCAGTATCCAAATTGCTCGCTCACAACTTTAATGTCAGTAGCTCACAAAGAAGAATTTTTACTCACAGGACTCCACAGCTTAGAGGGAGCATTGAGACCCATGTTCCCTCTAAGCTGAGTTAGTGTGAGCTAGCTCACAGGTTTTCAGCCTCCGGCTCACACATTTTTTTTTGTCTTCGCTCAGGAAGGATGGCTCCAGAGCAAGCTAATTTATGCAGTAGCCACATCTCCCGCTCACAACTTTAATGCCAGTCGCTCGCAAAGCAGGATTTTTGCTCACAGGACTCCACAGCTTAGAGGGAGCATTGAGACCAGTGTTCCCTCTAAGCTGAGTTAGGGTGAGCTAGCTCACAGGTTTTCAGCCTCCGGCTCACACATTTTCTTGTCTTAGCTCAGGAAGGAGGGCTCCAGAGCAAGCTAATTTATGCAGCAGCCAAATCGCTCACTCACAACTTTAATGCCAGTCGCCTGCAAAGCAGAATTTTTGCTCACAAGACTCCACAGCTTAGAGGGAGCATTGCTCCCCCCCTTCTTTAGACTCTCATATACTTGGGGTCTGTGTTACGGGGTTATCTCACCCCAAACCGAAGCGTAACATGAACAGCGGTACACATCCCTATACGTGCACTCCCGATGCAATTAATAACACCGGTGGGAGACCCCTCATAATGTTATCGCTTTCAGGAATGGGAGCTCGTACACCGGCGGGGGGCCACGCGCTTCAAACTGCCCACGATCCATTACAGTCAACCTCTTTCACGGAATGAATTTTTCAAAAAAAAATCCCCTCTCTTGGCTCGGGACCTCGGAGTTCATGGTGGGGGTTTAGATTCCAGCAGATGCAATCTTTCCTGGCAAGGGCCTCCTCCTAGCGAGACTGGAAACGGGGTCGGCGAGATCTTTGGAGAAGTTAACGGAGGTCTGTAAAAGGGATTGGGGGGGTGGGGGGATTCCCGATCTTCTTACAAAGGGTATTGGCAGGGAGGCTGCTCAAACAGATTTCCAGCCGCCGGATTAGCACGCCCCTGAGTCATCAGTCGCGAGTATTTGCAAAGGCGAGACCTCAAACAATGGGAGCGACTGGAGGAAATTGGAAAGGTGTTTGTGTTTTTTTGCTGTCTCCATGGCAGGTGAATGGGCTGCCCTGGAACCGCGGCAGACTCGCCAGGAGGGAAGACGGAATTCCTCCCGGTCCGTCTCCTGCCCGCCACAATGACTTCCTTTGACGGAAGGGGGAGAAACAGGGAGACACTTTGAAGTCCCCCTTTGAGTGACTCCCCTACAAATGAGACCTCTCCGGAGTCTCTTGGCGTTCTTTCTTTCAACTTTGCCCCCTGGCTATGGGGTTGTGCCCAGGCTATTAAGACGGGCAGAGGATCCTCAGAACAATGCCGCCGGTGTGCCATCCGCAGAGGGCAAAGGTGTCCTTTGCCAGTTTGGTGTGGTGGTTAAGTGTGCGGACTCTAATCTGGGGGAACAGGGTTTGAGTCCCCCACTCCTCCACTTGACCTTGGGCAAGCCATAGTTCTGATAAGAGCTGTCCTTGAAAAAGAGCCGTTTCTGTCAGAGCTCTCTCAGCTCCATCTCCCTCACAGGGCGTCTGTTGTGGGGAGGGGAAGGGAATGGAGATTGTAAGGCGCGCTGAGACTCTGAGTGAAGGGCGGGGTATAAATCCAATATCCTCCTCCTTCTGTGGTGTAGTGGTAGTGCGTGGACTTAAGTGGTTAAGTAGTTTGGTGTCATGGTTAAGTGCGCGGACACTAATCTGGGAGAACCGGGTTTGATTCCCCCACTCCTCCACTTGCACCTGGCTGAATGACCTTGGGCAAGCCCTAGTTCTGATAAGAGCTGTTCCTGAGAAAAGAGCCATTTCTGTCAGAACTCCCTCAGCCCCATCCACCTCACAGGGTGTCTGTTGTGGGGAGGGGAAGGGAAAGGAGTTTGTAAGCCGCTCTAAGAGAGCCAGTTTGGAGTAGTGGTTAAGTGCGCGGACTCTAACCTGGGAGAACCGGGTTTGATTCCCCACTCCTCCACTCGCACCTGGCTGGATGACCTTGGGCAGGCTGTAGTTCTGACAAGAGCTGTCCTTGAAAAAGAGCCGTTTCTGTCAGAGCTCTCTCAGCCCCACCTACCTCACAGGGCGTCTGTTGTGGGGAGGGGAAGGGAAAAGAGTTTGTAAGCCGCTCTGAGACTCCTTCGGGTAGTGAAGGGCGGGGTATAAATCCAATCTCTTCTTCTTCTTTTACCTCCCAGGGTGTCTGTTGTGGGGAGGGGGAGGGAAAGGAGTTTGTAAGCCACTCTGAGACTCCTTCGGGTAGTGAAGGGTGGGGTATAAATCCAAACTCTTCTTCTTCTTCTAATTGTATTTGATAAAGTGTGCATGCATACAAAAGCTCATACCTTGAATAAACCTTTGTTGGCCTTAAAGGTAACATTGGAATCCAAACCTTGAATAAAACTTTGTGGGTCTTAAAGGTCACATTGGACTCCAACGTTGTTCTTCAGTGCTTAATTTTGCAAATAAAAGGAGAGGTGTCGCTAGGGCGCAAGGACTCGTGGGAGCGGCCCTCTTTGCCAAGAAAACACTCCTTCCTAATCTCAATATGAGCAAGCCTGTGGGGAATTAATTCTGCTCATGCTCAGAGGTGCATTTCTTTACGTTACAGGTCCTCCCGGCACAGCCCACTATGTAGAAATTTTGATTGGCTGCTCTTAGCATGTTTTAGCAGTTCATAACCTTGTGCCACGAGCAGTGAACTTTCACTTAAAGCTGTCACCTTGCTTACGGTCTGTTTGAACTGCTGATCTTTCTTATGGCACATCAGTTATTGATTGATAGGTTTGCATTATTCGTAGTCTGCCTTCTCACTTGGATGCCAGTCAGGTTACACAGAAAGTTAATGCAACTGACAGATGGGATTTTCAGTGAACAATGCAAGCTGGGCAAGGATTGTCGAACCGACTGGAAGTCTGAAGGCAGAACTGCAGCAAGGCATACCATGACACGTGAAACGATGCCAAACCCCATTATTTATAAATTGCCAGTTCTGTTTCAGACATACAGAGAAGTCACACTTCGGCAGGTTCACACCTTTCTGCTTCCTTTTCCTCACATAGTGAATCTACACTTGAAAGACTCCTGATGGCATTTAACCTTCTGCGGTGGCTCAAGTGGTTAAGACGCTGAACTGCAGACCGGAAGGTCGGTAGTTCAGCAGTTTGAGACCCGAGTGCCGCATGACAGAGGGAGCTCCCGTCTCTGGTCCCAGCGCCTGCCAACCTAGACATTTGAAAGCAAGAAATTGCAAGTAGATACATAGGTACCGCTTCGGTGGGAAGGGAACAGCGTTCTGTGCACCTCGGCGTCTAGTCATGCCGGCCACATGACCACAAAGAAGTCTTCAGACAGCGCTGGCTCTTTGGCTTGGAAACAGAGATGAGCACCGCGTCCCCAGAGTCGGATTCGACTGGCTTTCGAGCAAGGGAAACCTTTACCTTTACCTTAACTCTTCCCCCCTTGGAAGGAGTCACAGTTTGATTGGTGACTCACAAAAGCTTATCTTGAAATAAATGTCATTGGTCTGTAAGGTGCTGCTGGGCTTTTGTTTTAAGGAAAAGAGATTCCAGGACTGAGGCCCGGGATAAATTTCGGCTGCAGGCGCATTCTCGTGGCGTTTTTCATTCATTCGTAGGGTCACCTCATGTGGGAAGAAACTTGACAGCATTTAAGGCATATGCATACCCTTAAGCGTTTCAGGATCTGGGTTCGAATGGGCGTAGGGGGTCAGCACAGCTCCTTGCGGCTGTGTTGAGTGTTCAGGAATCCTTTGGTGAGCAGGCTGCTGTCAAGCAAATCAGAGTCTGTGGAATCAAGGAGGGCTAAAGCAGCAGGTGGGCAAAACATAGTGCACTTCCAGGATTTGCAGGATTCCATTCCTACTGTCAACTTGTGTCCGTGTTGTCCTATGGATTCTTGAGAGAAGGGCAGGATTCCAGCGGTCATAATTAGGAAGAGCCCTGCTGGATCAGACCAGTGGTCCTTCTAGTCCAGCATCCCGTCTCACACAGTGGCCAGCCAGTTCCTCTGGAGGGCCAGCAACAGGGCAGAGAGGCCGAGGCCTTCATAAGAACCTCAGAAGAGCCCTGCTGGATCAGGCCAGTGGTCCTTCTAGTCCAGCATCCCGTCTCACACAGTGGCCAGCCAGTTCCTCTGGAGGGCCAGCAACAGGGCAGAGAGGCCGAGGCCTTCATAAGAACCTCAGAAGAGCCCTGCTGGATCAGGCCAGTGGTCCTTCTAGTCCAGCATCCCGTCTCACACAGTGGCCAATCAGTTCCTCCTGAAGACCAAGAACAGGTCGTATGGGGCCAAGGCCATCATAAGAACGTAAAGAGAGCCCTGCTGGATCAGACCAGGGGTCCCTCTAGTCCAGCATCCCGTCTCACACAGTGGCCAGCCAGTTCCTCTGGAGGGCCAGCAACAGGGCAGAGAGGCTGAGGCCTTCATAAGAACCTCAGAAGAGCCCTGCTGGGTCAGACCGGTGGTCCATCTAGTCCAGCATCCTGTCTCACACAGTGGCCAGCCAGTTCCTCTGGAGGGCCAACAACAGGGCAGAGAGGCAGAGGCTGCCTTCTGGTTCTGGCAGGGCTTTTTTTGTAGAAAAAGCCCAGCAGGAACTCATTAGCATAATAGGCCATACCCAACAGCAGGAACTCATTAGCATATTA